ACACACACATAAGTATGCATGCATATGGAAGTCAGAGGTCAATGCTGGGTGTCTTAGTCAGTGTTCTATTGCTGTGAAGAGACATCATGGCCATGGCAACTATTATAAAGAAAAGCATTTAACTGGGGCTTGCTTATAGTTTCAGAGGTTTAGTCCATTATCAGCATGGTGGAAAGCATGGCAGTGTGCAGGCAGACATGGTGCTGGAGAAGGAGCTGAGAGTGTTACATCTTGATTCACAGACAACAGGAAGTAGTCTGAGATACTGGGTGAGGCTTGAGCATATAAGAGCCCTCAAAACCCACCTCCACAGTGACACACTTCCTCCAACAAGACCACACCTACTTCAATAAGGCCACACCTCCTAATAGCGCCATTCCCTTTGGGGTCCATTTTTTTCCAAATCACCAGTTTTTCATGGGCTACTGAAATCTCAAAGCCCATCCCCAGTGACACACTTCCTCCAACATGGCCACATCTCCTAATCCTTTCAAATAGTGTCATTCTCTGGTGACCAAGCATTTAAATCTATGAGCCTGTGGGGGCATTTCTCACTCAAACCACCACATTTCATTCCCTGGCCCCCATAGGCTTATAGTCATATCATAATGCAAATATGCATTCAATACAACTTAGAAGTCCCTGTAGTCTATAACAGTCTCAACAATGTTTAAAAGTCCAAAGTCTCGGGGTTGGGGATTTAACTCAGTGGTAGAGCACTTGCCTAGCAAGCACAAGGCCCTGGGTTTGGTCCTCAGCTCCAGAAAATAAATATAATTAAAAAAAAATTTTAAAAAAAGTTCAAAGTCTCTAAGACACAAGGAAATCTCTTAACTGTAACACCTATAAAATCAAAATAAAAAAGCAGATCACATACTCCCAACATACAATGGCACAGAATATACATTACCATTCCAAAAGGGAGGAAAGGGAGCATAGTAAGAAAACACTGGACCAAAGCAAGACCAAAAGCCAGCTGGGAAAACTCCAAATTCTGCATTTCCAAGATGTCAAGATGCTCTTCAGATCTCCAACTCCTTGCAGCTTTGTTGACTGCCACACACTTCTTTCTCTAGGGTTGCCTTCACACTCTGTGAGCAGCTTTCTTCAGCAGGTACCCCACGACTAGGACTTCTCCAACATCTTGGGGTCTCCAACAAAATCCAGGCTTCACTTTCACATCTTCACACACCAGCCTCTCTGGGCCTCCAAGCAGGAACTACACTGACACATGCCTGACCTTGGCGGCTTTCCTTAGTCGAGGAGGGAGATTCCACAACCCCATCTTGTATTCTGGACTCTAAAGCCATAACCACGTGGCTGAAGCTGACAAGTTCTACTGCTTGCTGGGGCTGGAACTTGGCCACCTTGTTCAAATACATTTTCATCAGCTTTCTATTTTGATGGTTTTCTTCACTGTTTAAATTCCTTTAATTTTTTAATTCCTTTGCATAAGTTGGAGGCTTAGCTGGGTGGGGTCTTGCCCCGAGGTCACCACTCCCTTTATTCCACTGAACATCAGGTTTTCCCTTAATCTTTTTATCTCATTGAGTATTGGACTTAGCACCATTATACACTTCCTGGGTGCTCATTTCCTCCTCAAATTGTACATTTTGTATTTTCCTTGCTCAGCTTGCTCCTTTTCATTATAGATCTACACAACAGTGACATCTAATAACCACATGACAGAGTCAATACTAGGCTGCCTTGAAATCTCCTCTGCCAGTGCCATTAATCCAAAACTCTTCAGTTTAGCCTGTTGCAGAATATTTGTTTAACTAGGCAAAGAGAATTACATTTGTTTATGCTGTGGAATATTGCTTTAACTGTGTAACGGTGTGTCACCTTTGTTTATGCTGCATTTGTTTAATTATGTAAAGATGTGTTGCTCTGCCTGCCTAAGGCACAACTGATTGGTCTAATAAGAAGCTGAATGGCTAATAGCTAGGCAGTAGATGGATGAGCAGGGCTGACTGGTAGAGAGAATAAACAGGAGAAAAAGAGAAAAAAAGATCAAGAAACAAGAAAATGAGGAGAGAAGGATGCAGGGGGCCAGCCACCCAGCTCCACAGCCAGCCATGGAGTAAGAAGGAAAGAAAGGTAAAAGCCCATAGGCAAAGATAGATATGATAATTTAAGTTAAGAAAAGCTGGCAAGAAACAAGCCCAGCTAAGGCTGGGCATTCATAAGTAAGAATAAGACTCTGTGTGATTTATTTGGGACCTGGGTGACAGGCCCCCAAAGAGTAAAACAGTAAAATAACCAACTACACCCAAGGCCAGCCAGACATGAAGTAGGACATACAGAATGAAAGAAAGGTAAAAGTGCTGAGGCAAAACATAGATGAGGAGAAACAGGTTAAGTTATGTTATAAGAGCCAGCAGGAGAAGCATAAGCTAAGGCAAAGCATTCATAAGTAGTAGTGAGTCTCTGTGTCTTTATTTGGGAGCTGGTTTGTGGCCTAAAAGAAAGCCTGCTGCATTAGCCTCAGGCAGATTTATTTTTGGACAAGGGCAGAAAGCAGCTACATTCTTTGCCAAAATATCACAAGCATGGTCTCTAGACCACATACTAATAATCTTCTCTTCTAAAACCTCTTTATCTGGGCCATGATGATCTACATTGCTCTGAACACCACTGTTTTCCACACTCCTACTAGTGTGGCTCACTGAGCCCCAGTTCCCTGTTGTCCTTCAACAGGTTATCTAGTCCAAAGTCCACATGCTACCCATCAGGGCGTGGTCAGGCCTGTCACAGTAATACCAACTTCTGTCTTAGTCTATGTTCTACTGCTGTACAGAGACCATGACCATGGCAACTTTTATAAAGGAAAGCATTTAATTAGGGCTGGCTTACAGTCCAGAGGTTTAGTTCATTATCAGCATGGCAGGGGAACATGATGGTATGCAGGCTGATGTGGTGCTGGAGAAGGAGCTGAGAGTTCTACATCTGGATCCCACCACACTGGGTGTCTTTCTCTCTCTCCACCTTTTAATTCTTTTGGTTTTTTGTTTTGTTTGTTTTCAGACAGGGTTTCTCTGTGTAGCCTTGGCTGTCCTGGAACTTGCTCTGTAGACCAGGCTGGCTTCGAACTCACAGAGATCATTTTTATTCTTTTTAAAATATTAATTTGTTATTATTGTGCAGCTTTTACGTGAGTCCTGGGCACCCAAGTTGGTTCCTCATGCTCAGCCAGGAGATACTTTACTGGTGAGCCATCTCGCTGGTCACTCCTCGGCTGTTTAAAGTGAGATTTTTCCACTTGGGGGGCACACTCTTTTACCTGCTCTCTCTCCCCTATAGTTTTACCTTTTACCTCTTTGCTTGCTCTCTCTCACCTGAATAAAAGCCCATAGACCTAGAGGTTGCCAATAAATGGCAAATGCCTTGAAAGTATTCCATCTCTTTTTTCTTCTTTTAAGATAAGCCTCAGGTAGCTCAGGCTAGCCTAGAACTCATTAAGTAGCCGAGGATGACCTTGGAACAATCAGCTTCCTCAGCCTACCTCTCCAATGCTGAGATTACAAGTTACCACTGTGCCTGTCACCTCCCATCTGCCTCTCAAGCCACCGAATCTTTGCTTACTAAAACAGCCTGGCAAAGGTCACTAGCCACTTCCTTGTTTGTGAGTCCAGTGTCATCTCTGAGATTTTATTTACCTTACTTAACCACCCGCTCTCAACACTTTCCCCTTGGCTTCCATCCTCTAGGTTCATACCCAAAGCTTTCCCCATCACTCAAATAACTGGCCTCCCTCCTTCTTCCAATCCCCAATCCAGGCTCTGCATTGTACTCAAACAACTTCCTGCTGTCTTCATGGTAAATCTAAGCCCTTGTGCTCAAAGGTACAAGACACACTGGAAAACGTATTACCATTGGCATCGTCTATCTGCAGGTTCCAAGATGAGCTCGGCATCAAATGCTGCCCTGGGCCTGTGCCTGTCCTTCCAATGTTTCCTTTGCACTAGTCTCCCCTCGGGCCAGAAAACACTTCACGTCATTTCCTGTACTTGCCTCTCTCTGTTCCCCTTCTAAACTTTTCAATTGTGGGTTCTTACCTTCCCTTTCTTCACAAGTCTTTCAAGACCCAGCTCCACAACTACCCTGTTGTCATAACTACTACTTCCCTTGGGCTCCCCCAGTCCTTACCCTTCTGAAGCATTTTTCCTCCCCATCGGATTAGAGGTGGTTCATACACGGTTCTTCCCTCTCTCCCATTAAGACCATAAGGACCAAGGCAGTGTTTCCCAACCTTCCTAATGCTGAGACAGACCCTTTAATACAGTAGTTCATCATGTTGTGGTGACCCCAGCCATAAAATTATTTCGTTGCTACTTCATAACGGCGCATTTGCTACTGTTAACATAATGCAAATATCTGCTATGAGGGGTCATGACGCACAGGTCGAGAACCCCTGGACCAATGGCAGAGCTCACTAGCGCCCAAAGATTTGTATATTGTCCAGTCTCTGACACATACAGCTAGTTGTTCAGTAAATATTTACTAAATGCAAGAAAACTGTACTAGTCTAAGCTATTTGGCCTCACTCATGGTAGGGTATTTCTTAAGTCATTACTGAAGCATTACCTGAAGACCCCTTCCCAGCCAGGCAGCCAGTCTCCCACGAGTGGGAGGACCGGTCCGCACCTGCCGCCTTACACTATTTTGTTCGTTTTTTTTTTTGCCTCCAGCCTGTGAACCGTGGCTGGTGATGGAGGTAGATGTAGTTAGATGTGCAAGTCCAGGTTCGAGAAGTCAAAGTTTTGAGATGCCCATAATACTTCAACTCTCCCATCTACTCTTACCTTCCCAGGGGGATGGGGACGCTCCAAGAGCACGGCCCTCTGACCAAGACTTGATGATATCAAGAGAGTCAGCCAATTGCTGTGGGCCAAGGACAGGAGGGGCCAAAGCGTGGTTGCTAGGGCCCAGCAAGTGGGTGCGGCGGGAAGCGCGGAGCGACTTGGTGGTTGCTAGGAGGGAGGTCACAGAACGCGGCTCGGGGATTGGGCAGCGCCAGGCGTGGGCGGGGTGTGGGCGTGGCCTGGCAGCGTCCGGCCCAGGCGAGGTGAAACTGCGGGAGTTCCGGCGGGAGGCCCGTGCTGACGGCCTGCACCTTCACCATGGCCTCGGCCGAGCTGGATTACAGCATCGAGATCCCGGATCAGCCCTGCTGGAACCAGAGTATGGAAGGGGACTCGAGAGGTTAGCCCTGCAGCGACGCCCCGCCTGCCCCGTGGCCCCGCCCTCTCGCGGCCCGCCCCCTCCGGGGTCTGCCCGGCAGGATGGAGCTTGCGGGGCGCGCAGAGCCCCGCCCCCCGCGCCCCGCCCCCCCAGTCGACTGAGGGTCTTTCTGTTCCACGCCAGGTTCTCAATGCCCGTGTTCTTGCTTCTCTTTGTGGCTGGAGGACCCTCGAGGTTCGCCCTAATTCTTTTGTTTTGGATCGGGCTTCCCATTTCTCTCCCCTCATTGCCAAGTGTGGCTAGGCCCACCCTTCATTTTCCAGAACGAATGGAGTCCCTGGGGAGTCTCTGGTCCCCAGAAAAGCCCAGGGGCTCAGCGTGCCTGGTTCTCTGCTTCCCCACAATCCTTGGCAGTGGTTAACAGAACCGAGTGTTAGGCCGGCTTGAACTCTGTCGAAATCCTATCTGCTGCGTTTAGTAATTGGATGACCTTCGGTAGAGTTTCAACTCTGAATTTCACTTTTCCCTATCTGCAAAAATGAGGAAAAATTGCTGGTTGCACAACTGAGATTATTTGTGTAAAGAACTTGGCATAGATCCTGATGGAAATGAGTTTAGTAGTTGGCATTTAGAATTAACATTGTTTACCCCCTGCATTCATATCATTAAAAAAGATGTGTGGGAGGCTTCCTAAGATTAGTAGCTTGTAAAGCAATATAAGTTGTTGGACCAGAGAATGGAATGTTGGAAACTACAGCAGAGGAGGCTTGGAACACAGGTCGGCCTCTGCCTCTGCTCTTTGGTCTGTTTGGAATAGAGTTTCCAGTCCACTGCCCCTCACTGGTCCAGCTCATCATAAAGCTTAGCTTCCTTCAGCAGCCTTCCCAGGTCCCTCTGGTCCTACTGTGTGTTCCTTGCTTGGAATTTAGAACAGGGCAGCAGCCTCTCAGCTCCCAAAGCACTGATGGCTGCCACTGTTTGTCCCTAGAGCTGGGTCATTGGCCTGTGCTATGAAAGGGCTTTTGACTTTAGCATGAGATGAAGTCTGTGAATATTGCTGTCCTTGCAGATCCATTAGCTGCAAAGGGCTGGCACTCCCTTCTGCATGGCCAGGAGGGCAGGGATGCTCTCTCTGCCCGGGTGGGTAGAGACAGTCTTGGTTTGTGTTTTCTGCCCTATCTCTTAGTAGCTCTTTGGCAAGTTTTTATTATTTATTTATTTTGGCAGGACTAGGGGCTTGAACCCAGGGCCTGATGCATGCTAAGACAAGTGTTTTACCACTATGCCATACATATTTATTTGTGTGCATACACACCATAGTGTATGTGCACAGTACAGAGGACAGTTGGTTCTCTTTTTCTGCCCTGTGGAGCTGGAGATCTAACTTGGGTCACGTGGTTTAGCAGTAAGTGCTTTTTTACCTGCTGTAGCTTCTTACCAGCTCAGCCCTCCTTCTTGACGGTGTCTCTCTGTTGTCTAGACTGACCTTGAACGTACTCTACTGCCCAAATAAGCTTGAGATTACAAATACTGTTTAATCTTTTCTAGTAGCTAGCATTCTAGGCATATGCCACCGGAACTGGCTTTGGTAGATGATGATGATGATGATGACGATGATGATGATGGAGACGGGTTCTGGGACTCATATGTATACCAGGCTGGCCTTGAACTTACAGAGCTCTTCCTGCCTCTGCCTCCCAAGTGCTGGGATTAAAGGCACGCACTGCTACTCTTGGCTTTAGCAGATCATCGAATCTTTCTGAGCCATGTATTTCTCTTGTGTCAGATAGAAATAATAACAACAACCCTCTAGGATTGTGAAGGTCCACAGGGTAGATACTGATGTGTGTGTGGAACGAAGTGGCTGCTCTGTCCATCCTTCCCCTCCCCTGTGCTTCCCCAGGCTGCTTTAGGAGGCTGGGGCTTAGAACTGGAAGACATCCGAGGCCCAGTTTACCCTGCATTCCTCTGCAGGGACTTGTGTTGTTGGCAGACGCTTCCTCCAGACACGGGGCCTCTTGGAGGGATTGTTAGAAAGCACTTCCTGTTCTTGAACCACATCAGCCTTGAGGCTCTCTCTGCTCAGTTTGGTGTTCGCTGTGTCTTCCAAGGGTTAGTTGTTGGTGCCTCGAGGGGTTCATGGACAGGCAGCTGCAGAGAGCTGTGGTTCATAGAGGGAAGGAGTGTGGAAGCAGTGGTTTCACAGTTCGGGGTATCCAATCTACAAGGTAAGCCCTCTTCCTCTCTAAGAGACAGCATTCCTACTTCCCTGAATCTCTCCTCAAAGAGGAAGTCCTCCAGGGCATTCAGTTATTTCGTCAGCTGCCCGCTCAGTGTGCAGGACCAGAGCTAAGTGGGAGGACGCAGACTGCTTCCAGAATCCCAACCCCAACACCTGCCTAAAACCCAATCTTAACCCTACAAATTCCATCCCTGAGAATAAATCCAACACAGACCCAAACCTAAAACCAACCCTAAAACTAACTTCAACACTATCTAAATGCTAACAACCCAAACCCTAAACACAACCCTGACACCAACCCTAACCCTACCTCCAACTCTAATCCTGACACTAAACCTAAGTCCAACCCTAAGACTAATTCTAACCCTGATCCTAACACTAACCCTAACCCTAGCTCCAGCCCTCACCCTAACCCTAACTCCTAGCTCCAGCCCTAAGCCTAACCCAAACCTAACCCCAACCCCAGTCCCAACCCTAACCTGTACACTGTGGTCTCTGAACTTAAGGATTCTCTTCTGGATAGAGTTTCTCTACAGGCTGGCCTGGCTGCACAGAGTGGCTCTCATCGGAAGGCCCAGGGCAGAGATTGCCCTTCCTTTTGTGGTTACTGTTTAGTGAGGAAGTGTGCAGGATGGTCAGTCATCTTTAGTTTTTGGAATTGCCTTACCCTTTCCCCGAATCGGAAATCAAATCAAAGCCACAGAGCCAGGCACTGTCGTGATTTGCCAGTTAAGTGAGCAGCTGATGCTAACTGTAACGGTGGGCTGGAGTCATTCACGCATCGTGGGGCAAGGCTGGGCAGACTGGCATGCCTAACGTGCAGTATCTTGGATTTGATCTTTCAACACCACGCTGACCCTACAAACTTCATAGAGACTTTGAAGACGGGGCTCTTACTCTTTGAGTTACCAGAAGGCCTCAAGGCAGCCACCTCAGGTGGGTTCCTTGACTTTATTGTGAGCCTTCTCTTTTGCCTGCCGGTGGCAACAGTCAAAGAGATGTAGCCATATCTTTAAACTCAGGAAGCTTTTTCTGGCACAGAAGCGGTGCTGGGTCCCCACCATCGTGAGGGGTGGGTGTTGAGGAGAGGCGCTTCCAGAGACCTGACAGGTCGTGGTGATCAGCAAAGGTGCCAAAATAAAGGCACTGGAGGAGGAGTGAGAGCAGAGTGGCCGCAGGAAGCAGGGGCCCAGGGGAGGCTTGGCAGGCTTCACTCACGGAGAGCCGAGAACCTCAAGAGGTGGCCGGGTGTGAAGGTGTATGGTGATAATCCTAACACAGAGGGGACTGAGGCTGGAGGATTGCAATTTCCAGGTTAGTCTGAGCAAGACCCTGTCTCAAAAGGAAAAGGAAAAAAGGAAAGAAGGAAGGAAGAAAGGAAGGAAGGAAGGACGGGGGAAAGGACAATTAATATTTGTAGGTATTTAAATATTTCATTTATTTAAAAACCACTGAACACACCTGGATGGTGGTGGCACACGCCTTTGATCTCAGCACTCAGGAGGCAGAGGTAGGTGGATCTCTGAGTTCGAGGCCAGCCTGGTCTACAGAGTGAGTTCCAGGACAGCCAGGGCTGCACAGAGAAACCCTGTCTCAAAAACACCAAAACAACAACCCATCGATGAATGCTTCATATATTGCATGTCATCTTTGTGCAGGGGCCGTGCTAATTCCTCTAATTGTTCCAATTTCAGTGTGTTGTTGAAGCACAGATTTTATTTATTTTTGAATTCTCATGCCTTCTCTTTCATCCATTAACAAGGCAATTGAAACCTCTTCCCGGGGCCTGCTCCATGCCTGCTTCTGTTTCGGGCCCTGCATTTGAGGGCCCTTTGCGCTGGTCACCTTCTGCTGTTGACAATGCTGTGCCCCATCCCCATGTCAGTCTTCTGGGACCTCCTTTCATTGTGTTTTTAATCCTCACTGTCACCCTGGCAGGAGGGGTACCCTTAACCGTGTTTCACAGATGACGGATGGGCGTATGGAGGGCATGAAATATCTTGCTCCAAGTAACACTTTTTCAGCCTGCGAGCCTTACTCCAGAGCTTGTGACTGTGAAGATTTCCGCTGGTGTGAGGAAGAGCTGCAGGACCCAGATACCACAGTGAGGGCTGTACACAAAGAAAGGCGTCCACTGAAGTATTTTTATTATAGCCTCAAATTGGGAGCAACATCATGTTCAATAATGGGAGATTGGTGGCCATAAATTATGAAAACATTCCATAGCTCCTCTGCAGCCCCTGAAAATGATGGTGTAAAAATATAGAAACTGACAGGGAGAGCTGGTCACGATATATTGCTGAGCGGAAGAAAGCAGATGACAAAGAGTATGATTCCGATTTTATTTGATGCTCATTTTCTACCTTTTCTGCGGTGGGCATGCAGCAAAGTAATAATCCCTTCACTTACTGAACTCTCTCTTTGAGTGGGTACATTGTGAACCTTCTGTAGTCATGATCTTGCTGAATTCTTTGCAGTAAGTATTAGCCCATTCCACAGATAGAGGGATTGGGAACTGAAGGACTTACCTTAGGTCTGTTTCATAGTCGCAGAGTTAAAGATATGGACTGATGTACAGCTTTGGATGATGTGGCTTCTTAGATGGAATGCAATTCTACTATGTTATTTCAAAGGCTAAATTTAAAATAATTTGGATTAAATGTAGGAGCAGTGAGACTCTAGAGAGGATTTCTGGGGGGTAGGGGAAATGGGGAGTCGTTTTCTTGTTTGCCTTCCTTGTGTGTGATTCTCGCTTCCCATTACAAACAGCCTGTGTCGA